CTGGTTCTTCAACTCAGCATTTTTGTTATCACTCTCATCAGCCCTAGATTCTAGACTTTTGCATTTTGCTTTTAGGATAACACATTCCCTAGACAGAACTTCCTTTTCATTGTTAACTATTTCAGACTCATCAATGAAGTCTAATAATAGCTCAGTCAACCTTTCTTTAGACAGAAATTTAATTTTATCCTTGAGATGCAGAATACTTACCTCCTGTTCATCATCTGATTCTCCAATGGCCATAAGAGCTTGCTCTTCTTCAGCTTCATCTTCTGAGTCTTCATCAGAGGTTTCACCCCAAGCAGCAACCATAGCCTTGGTTGAACCTTTGTTTTTCTTGGGTTGAACCTGTTCCTTCTTCCTGTTTCTTCGTTCAGCTCTTGCTTTCTTCCACTCAATCTCCCATTGAGGGCAATTCTTGATCATATGGTCAGTCTTACCACACTTATAGCAGCCATCATTTGTCTGTTTCTCAGGAGCTCTTGTCTTGTTGAAGTTTGTACCTCTTGATGAACCCTTTCCTCTCATTAGGTACTTTTTGAAATCTTTAGTGATCATAGCCATCTCATCATCTTCTAGGTCTGAACCTTCTGTAATTTTGAGAGCCAAACTTCTCTCCTTCTTGGGTGTATCCATCTTCCTAGTTTGCCTTCTCAGTTCATAAGCAGTAAGATTCCCAATCAGTTCATCCAGCCTGAGAGTGGCCATATTCTTGGACTTCTGAATGGCAGTGATTTTGCTTTCCCAAGCAACTGGAAGAACTCTTGTCAAGATCTTCTCAACCTTGTCTTCTCAAGAATAACTCTTCCAAGAGACTTAAGTTCATTTGTCAGTGTAGTGAACCTTGTGTACATCTCTTGAATGGTTACTCCATCTTTCATAGTGAAATTCTCATATTGAGAATATAGCAATGTTCCTCTGGATCTCTTCACTTGAGGTGTTCCTTCATGAGCCACTTGCAAAGTGTCCCATATCTCTTTTGCAATAGTACAGCTTTGGATCCTGCTGTATTCATCTGGACCCAGTCCACACACAAGCCATTTCTTGGCCTTAGAATTTTTCTCCCATTTTTTCAAATCTTCAGCAGTACAATGAGCCCTTGTCTTTGGCATTTCCACTCCTTCCTCATTTTTCATTGTAGTTGCCAAAGGACCATCGGTGACTATTTCCCAGAGTTCATAGTCTTCTCCTATGATGTGATCCTTCATCCTATTCTTCCACCATGAGTAATACTGTCCATTTAATAGTAGAGGCCTGGCAGTGGATTGCCCTTCCCAGTTCCCAGGTGGTGCACTCATGTTGATCTTTTCCTAAGGTGTTAGCCTCTTCAAGGATAACCCGCTCTAATACCAATTGATGTTCCAAACGTGAATACTACACAATAGGGGGGGTGATTTGTGTGGTACCCAATTTTCGATCTAGAAGAACCTGGTTCTTCTAGGTGTTCTAATTACTACAGTTTGCGGAATTAAAATACAGAAAATAAAAGAACACAAGGATTTTTACGTGGAAAACACCTGGCTCAAAAGGTGAAAAAACCACGACCTACTACTCAGTAGGATTTTCCCAAACATCCACTAAACTCAATGAGCCAAAAACAGCATTTACAAAACTCTTGTAAACCTAAGGATTAACTCTAATCCCAGTGTGGCACACAGCCTCAACTGTTGCGACACTTTCAAGTTAACTCTAACTTGAATACTCAAAGTACCTAATACAATTGCTTCTATGAAAGCTGGAAAGGTACAAGTTTTAAATCACCTACTACAATTGAACTAGAATAAGAATAAACACAATGGAACTGGTTCTTCTATCTTGTTCAAGTAGCTACAGGCGTGCACACTCAATCTCACATAAATTGCTTGCAAAATAGCCTTGCTCTTTTTCTCTCAATTTTGCTTAACTTCAGCGTATGTGCATACCTGTAAAAGAGAACAACTCTGTTATTTATTAGATTAGTAATTAGAGTTGGATTGTAACTCAATTTCTAATCCTCCATTGAGTTTGAGTCCTAGACCAATCCAAACTCCAACCCTTATCCGGATGTGTTCTCTTCTTATAAGGAGACATCTTCTCCTTATCCCATATGCAATCTTTTCGATCAGGTCAGAAGATATTCAGAAGATATTGGTGCTTGATCCCCAAGGACTTATCTTCTTCACGTGCATCTCATGTGCATGGGCCATAACAACTGTGTCTCCTAAGATGGACCTAGTCCTTCACTGAGTTCATTTGTCATTCTTCAAAACTTCAACTGATCTTGGGCCAACACCTTCCTTCTAAATCTGATTCCCCTCCTTTGAGGAGATCTTCTATACCTCACAATCCTCCTTCCTATTTGCAGAATTATGTCCGTAACTTACCTAATCCTGGCTCCAGGCCTGCTAATTTAATTGTTGTGTCTACTTCTAGTGAGCATCATGCATTTGAGCCTACTACTTATTCTCAGGCAGCAACTATCCCTGAGTGGCAGACTGCCATGAGAAAGGAGTTTGAGGCATTGGAGACTAATGGTACTTGGGACATAGTTGAGTTACCCAAAGGCAAGAAGCCAATTGGCTACAAATGGGTATACAAATCCAAGTACAAAGCTGCCGGAAGTATAGAAAGATATAAAGCTAGGCTTGTAGTTAGGGGTGATACACAAATTGAAGGCATAGATTTTCATGAAACTTTCTCTCTTGTGGTTAGGATGTCTACTGTTAAAACTTTAATTGTTGTAGCTGTTAAAAGAAATTAGCCAATGTTTCAATTAGATGTTAATAATGCTTTCTTGCATGGGGATTTGGATGAATAAGTTTTTATGAAACTCCCACCTGGACTTCAGTATCTACTGTATGTACTGCTTCTGTTCCCAGTACTTTGGTTTGTAAACTAAAAAAATCTTTGTATGGTTTGAGACAAGTTTCAAGGCAATGGTATGCAAAGTTGTCTCAGTCCTTGTCCTCTAGAGGTTATTCACACGCTTTCAATGATTATTCACTTTTTATTAAGGGTTCTGGTGATACGTTAGTACTCTTAGTGGTCTATGTTGATGATATCATCATCACTAGGACAGATGTGTCTGAGATTGAGGTCTACATGATCAATTTAAGATCAAAGATTTAGGCCACCTTAACTACTTTCTAGGCATTGAGGTCTTGTATTCTAAGGGTGGGGTGTTGCTGCATCAGAAAAAGTTTGTGCAAGATCTTCTCAAAGAGTTTCATTCATATGATTGCTCCTCAGTTGAATCCCCTCTTGAAATGCATGACAAGCTACAGACTAATCATGGTGATCCTCTGCCCAATCCTGAGACTTACAGGTGCTTAGTGGGAAAACTCAATTTCTTAACCCATACTAGACCTGATATTTGCTTTGCAGTGCAACATTTCAGTCAATTTATGTAGCAACCTTGCCTTCCTCACATGCAAGCTACCTTGCGTTTACTCAGGTATCTCAGGGGTACTCTTGATTTTAGGGTTTTCTGCAATAATTCTTCTGATCTGTCCCTCAGTGTCTATTGTGATAGTGATTGGGGTTCTTGCCCGTACAGTAGGAAGTCCATCAGTGGGTTTTGCATTTTGCTAGGGGGTTGTTTAGTTGGATGGAAATCCAAGAAGCAATCTGTGGTCTCTTTGTCATCTGCAGAAGCTGAATACAGGTCCATGAGTAAGGCCAGCGCTGAAATTACTTGGGTTTGCAGGCTTCTTTCTGATTTTGGTATTCTTTCTTCTTCTCCTGTTACTCTATTTTGTGATAACCATGCAGCCATCCACATTGCTAAGAACCCTGTTTTCCATGAGCGCACAAAGCACATTGAGCTGAATTGCCACTTTGTTCGCACCAAGTTGAATGAAGGTTTGCTTCAGCTGCTTCATACTTTTAGTGCCAATCAGCTTGCTGATATGTTTACTAAGCCGTTGGGAGGAGCTCTTCATCATCTACATCTTTGCAAGTTGGGAGTTATCTCAACCTCCAACTTGCCGGGGGGTATTGAGATACAAGAAAATGCCATTACTTAATTGGGTTGTCTTTCTTTTACTATTGGGCCCTAAGCCCACATTGTATGTATTTATTTTTAATCTTTGTAATGAGTTATGGGCTGGCCCATATATAGAGGGAAAATATTCTTTTGTATATACAGACCTTCATCTCATTTTTCTAATTAGAAGAAATAATACGTCTGGAAACTTCCGTCTCTCTCTCTCTCTCTCTCTCTCTCTCCATCTAATCTTCTTCGATCTGCTTAACAATGGAGTTTTATCAAATTTCAAAAATCATAAACACTAATCAAAACCATTGTTTAACGGGCCAAACTCGTTATGATATAGATCAACCCAATTATGGTGGGATTTCCATTGAAGGAAAGCCCTACCCTCATATGAAAGAAGAGAAGGAACTGGAAGTCAGAGAGAGAAATATTATGTGAAAACAAAATGAAATAATTGTCCAACTTTATTATTCAGCACTTCTTTGCTTATATAGTTACACTTGAGATTACTATCTATGTAATGATACAATGGCTATCTAAGTAATGTAACTTGGCTAAAGTATGTAATATAAAATGAGTTACAAGTTGGGCTTGGCTACTTGGGCCTTCAACCGACTGATGGGTTATTGCTCAATATGGTTAACACCCCCCTCAAGCTTGAGGGTGCTGCAACACCAAGCTTGCCAAGAATAAAATGGTAGAGATATCCAGGAAGGGCCTTGGTCATGATATCTGCTAGTTGAGCAAAACTTGGGACAAAATGAAGAGAGATTAAACCAGCTTGAAGGCTATCCCATACATAATGACAATCTATTTCAACGTGCTTAGTACGTTCATGAAACACAGAGTTTTTGGCAATATGCAAAGCAGCCTAACTGTTGCAAAAAATAGGGACAGGGCTGGTGATAGACAAACCAAGATCACCCAAAATTCTGACTAACCAAGAGATCTCAGCAACAAATTTCCTTAAGGCTCAATATTCTGTCTCAGCAGAAGACAAAGAAATAGTTAGTTGTTTTTTGCTTTTTCAGGAAACAGGACAACCACTAAGAGTAATGTAGTACCCGGAAACAGATCTCCTAGACTGAGCACAAACTGCCCAGTTAGAATCAAAGAAAACCTTGAGATCCAAATTAGAAGAACAAGGCAGAAGTATGCCCAGATCTAGAGCATTGGACAAATACCTCAAAACATGGAGTGCAGCCATCATGTGAGGAATCTGAGGAGCCTGCAAGAAATGACTTAGGTGTTGGACTGAAAAAGCAATGTCTGGCCTAGTGTGCTGAAGAATATTCAACTTCTCAATAATTCTCCTATAACCACTAGAGTCAGAAAGAGCCTCTCCCATGTTAGCAGTGAGCTTGAGAGAAGAATCCAGGGATATAGTAACAGAACTGAAGTTCGGGCAGTTGAATTCAGAGAGTAAATTAGTGGTGAACTTAGTCTGACTGATAAGAAAGCCTTGGGAAGTGTCAGAAACCTCCAAAGGAATGCGTTTCTTGTTAGGGGGTAGTGGAACAATGTCCCAAGTATGATTGGCTTTAAGAGCCTGAAATTTCTTAACCATGGCCTCTTGCCAAGCAGGAGAGGAAGCAGCCTAATGGAAAAACTAAGGCTCATGTGAGTGCAAATCAGCAGTGGAAAGCTATGGAATATCGGAAGCAGGGGAAGAATGAATAACAGAAGAGCAAACATATTCCTTAAGGCATGTAGGAGGGCGACAAGTTCTGGTAGAATTCCTGGGAGGTGGAGTAGGAATAAGAGGGGAAGGAGTAGAAGGGTGGGGGGAAGGGGTATGAGGTGACAAAGCAGGTAACTGAGAAGGGAAAGAAGGGGCAGGAGATAAAGTAGAGGGACATAAAAAAAGGACCGAGGAGTAGACTGAGAGTTGGGCAGGGAGGATAAAGGAGGGGAGGGAGGAGTAGAAATAGGGACAAAATCAGAAAAGGGAGCTGGAAATATAGGAGTTGAGGAGGATTGAGAAGAGGAAGAATAAGGGAAGATGTGCTCATGAAACACAACATCCCTGGAGTAAAAAATTTAGGAATTGGACAAATTGAGAAACTTATAACCTTTCTTGCCACAAGGATACCCAAGAAACAGGCAGGAGATTGCCCTAGACTGAAATTGTCCTTAGCAACCTTAGGAGAAGTTGCATAACATAGACAACCAAAAGACTTAAGATGGTCATATGATGGAGGATAACCATGCAATTTCTTATAGGGTGAAATATTATTCCAAATAGTGGAAGGGAATCTATTTATGAGATAGGTGGCAGTAAGGACACAATCACCCCAAAACTTTGTAGATAGATTAGATTGGAATAGTAAAGCCCTAGAAGTTTCAAGCAAATATTTATTTCTTTCAACAATACCATTTTATTGAGGGGTGTGAGGAATGGTGTTTTGGTGTAGGATGCCTTGGGAAGCAAAAAAGAATTTTGCTTCAGAACCGCTCTCAAGTTCAAAGGCATTGTCAGATCTATAAGTTTGAACTGATGTGTGAAAGTGAGTCTTAACCATGAAGGTGAAAGCCTTAACGATAGACAAAGTATTTCCTTTACATGAAAGTAGATGAGTCCATGTTACTCTAGTATAGTCATCTACTAAGGTTAAGAAGTATTTGAATCCATTATATGTATTGGTGTGGTTGGGCCCCCAAATGTCAATATGTACTAATTGGAAAGGTGCCGAAAAATGAGTAGAACTATCATTAAAAGGAAATCTTTGTTGCCCAGCCATAGGGAAAATAGGACACAAAAATAATTGCTTAGAAGAAATTTTATTAGAAAGAAGGAGAAATACATAAACAGCCCCTCCAAGTTGTCCACAACGGTCAGTTGAACACCTCAACTGAGACCTTTTTCACTTAAATATATCACGTGTTTAAAAACTGAACTCAATAAACACCCGACCTCACCAGCCCCCGTCGCGTGTGTTACACCTCCGGTGTCTTTTATAAGAACAAATTAGAAGCTGACACGTGGAAAAAAATAAGAAATAAAGAATTAAAAACATAAAACATAAAACATAAAGGTAAATTTTCATCGTTTCTTCCGTCTAATGTCTCTCTCTCTCTCTCTCTCACCGAATAACCCATCTTCATCTCTTCGATTAAGCTTGGTTCAATTGGCATTTTTGTTGCAAAATTAAAGATTTCTTTCACTTACTATATGTGATTAGTTGTTCTTTGTTCGAATTGTAGCTTGGTTCAAGATTTATCACCTGAAGGTCATCCTAGGGTTTTGACAGTGGATTTTTTGTGAAAAGGGGAGTCAGCTGTAAAGTGGCTTCGATTATTGCATAAAGGTATGTTTATATCATGCTTTTTTCTATTTTATCGCTATATGTCTGTTATGGTGCTATTAGATTAGGGTTTTTTTTTCTGGAAAATTGAAAATGTTGTTGATACCCAATTTTTCCCTATATATTTTTAATATACAAAATACTTTCAAAATAGCATGTGCATGCATATATAAGTATGTCCAAATGTTTTACTATTTTTTCCTTAATTTTTAAAGATTTTTTTATCAATTTATTGCCCTATTTTATCCATAAAAACCAAGTAATTATTCCCAAAATTATCATTTTTGGTGAATCATTTATTGGATTTTCATATTTATACTAAAATGTGGCTAATATAGTTTTTTCATATTTTTACAAGGTCATTTAGTATTTTTAAAGTTAAATTGTATGTAATTACAATATTAGCCTTTTTAGGATTAATTACGTTTATATTCATAAAAATTACTGGTATTTTTAAATAGTTAATTATGTGCTATTAATCATTTTAGTACCTTTAATTTATTTCCAGAAATTATTTTACTATTTTTTATAAATCAAACAGGGAAAAGTGGCTATTTAAATGTTAGCCACATTTTATTTCAATTTTAGTCCGAATTTGCACCCCAATTGAACTCAATTGAAACTATTTGAACCCCCCGACCCAATTCCAATTTAATCCGACCCAAACTCATCTTCATAACCCGCCCACTCGCCCGTTTTAATCCAGGCCGTTGATCAATTCAGATCAACGACCAACAACCATCCTTTCCTTTTTTAATCTCAAACTACCCCCTAACCCTAACCATTTTCACACACCCTGCCGCCTCTGAATCCCCTTCTCTCTCAAACTCTCTCCAACCCTAGCCGCCGACATCAACTACAACCCTAAAAAAAGCTCCCAAATCCATGGCTTCCAAGGTCATTGGAGGCCTGTATCCACCTCCCATGACTTCTACGTGTTTGATTATTATGGTTTCAAGGCTAGATCCTGAAAGAGCTTGGTCCAGACCTTGGTCGATTTCAGTTTACGGCTGTTCTCCGGTCGTCTCTGACCTTTCTCCGGCCAGCCATGGCTATTCGAGTCTAACTCTTGACTCTCCGATGGTTTTCAAAGCCTTTCTCACCACTTGGATGAAACCCTAACCTTCAAGGTTCCCTCGATTTCTCTTAGATTTATTTCAGATCTATGTCTGCTCTGAACTTTTAAGCGTTTTTCTCGAAGTTTCTTTTAAAACTCCGCTTTCAATACTCCTTATCCTTCTGATTAAGGTTCTGTTAAGTTATTTCGAAACCTTTATTTGATCTTTGATATGTTTTGCTGTGTTTGCTCGTATTATCCTTCTGCCTGAGTTTGCATGTTAAAACCCCAATTTCTTTTAACTGTTTATTAAATGAATGTTTGTTTGCCTGCGTTTTTGTCCAATCTGTCTATTTATCCTCTTTTTTAAAACCCTTCTATTGTGAAAAATCTTATGGTTTTGGGTCTGAGACTGTTTGTTTAAGTGTAGAAGTTCTTTTCGAAATCTCTTGTTCTCTTTGTGCGATTCTTCTGATTCTGTGTTTCTATCTTCTCTTTAACTCGCCTATGTTGAAAGCCCTAATTTTTCTAGGTTTCTTCGTTTGATTTTGTGACTGGCTTGTTCTTGTTTGAGTTTCTGTGACTATCTCGCTTCGAATGTGTTTCTACTGAGTTCCTTATGCCTAACTTACATAAGCTCTATGTGCTTGTGTTCGTCTTGATTGGTCAAGACTTGCCTCTTTGCTTGCTATGTTTGGTTACTCATATCTCACTCTATTTATATGCTAAAACATGACTCATGACTCTCTCTTTGATTGACTCTGAGCTCCCTGTTTCTTGGCTTGATTTGAAAACTTCTCTTTAGACTTTGTATTCTCCTATTTAAACTTGGTTTATTTGTTTATTCATGGGAACCCATGTTACTCTCCTTAAATCAGTAATTCGAATCCTTGATTCCCTGATTTACCATGTGCTGATTTTTGATTATGTTTTCTTACCTTATTTGGTTAACCGAGTATTTTACTGATTCTTCATTAGTTGTTTCCTTAATTGAACCCCTATGTACTTACCCCTAATTGTCTATTCTGTACATGATGCTCTACTTGATTTCTTTCCTTAAACATTTTCTGCCCATTACCGTTAGTTGATTGCCCCTTAATTAAAGGAGTACTTGTATTGATTTAATTCTGATTAGTACTTGGTTCCATAATTACTGTACAATTGTAATTATTGCCTTATTTTACATGGTTTCGAACTACTATATATACATACTCTCTCATTAACACAAAGACGAACACTTTTAATTCTGAACTCACACTTACACTCAAAACACTCTCTCTTGCTTTACTACTTGTACTGTGGCCTGTTTAGCTGGCTGAAAGCCAAAGCTATATTTCAAAGTCCTGCTACCTTTCTTTACTACATTTTGCTTCTTTGAACTGGTATATTCTAATTAAGTTTTCAGCATCAACAACAACATGGTTACTTAATGTTCTTGCATTCTTGTCTGCCTACTGCCTGTATCTATTTCAGTACCTTTATTTAGCATGCTGTAATTTCTTTTCTCCTGTTCTGAATCAATGCATTATGAATCCTAAATTCCTACCCCAATGTGTTTGATACTTATGGTTTGTTTGGGGCATGACAACATCGAGTATTGCTGAACATGACTCAAACTTGGTCCTCCTAGGGTCATAACCTCCATGTCACCCTTATATGTTATATGTTCTAGTTGATTTACAAGCATGACAGCACCCCTATTATTGTGCATGCCCAGAATTGACTCATGCCTAAGTATATAGGCCCTTGCAATGGATTCTCAATCCCCTGCCCTTTGGTGTGAAGTTATCAACTCTTTAAAGTATTAATGGCTGTCTCCCATCACCCTTTCCCTTTTCTTTGTTCCCTCAGCTTTTAAAACTCAGTTTCTGCACTTCCACTCTCTCTTAGACTTAAGTCCTGCCCCCCTCATGTGAGCCTTGCCTTGGGACCCATGAGCTCCCTCTGAACTTGGACACATGAGGGCTGGCATTTCCACACTGCACTTGTCCCTATTCTGGTGATGTAATTTGGGTGTGAGCACTGCCCATGGTCCTATTGAGGCTCTTAGGGAACTCTGACACACTCAAGTTTGAGAAAGGCTTTGAAGCAATGGCATCTTAAGGCAGTTATTCCATAGCTCAGGGAGGAACCAAGAATCGGGCCTCCTCTAGTTGTATTTTTATGTATTTTGATGTAATTTAATATTCCTGGTTTGTAATAATTTGTAATAAATGATTGGGGCTGGCTAGTGAAAAGGGTTGGGTATTTATGCATGTCAAGGGTAGAAACCATGCCTATAGGACTATTTTGAATTTCTGCATATTCAAACTACATTTAGAAACCATGCCTATAGGGTATTTTAATGCTGCAAAATGCATTTAGAAACCATGTTTATAGGACTTCTTGTTCAACTTCATATCTAGATAACCTGCCTATAGGGATCATCTAAAATTCTGCACATTTTTCACCGTTTAGATATCATGTTTTAGGGCCCAATTGATTATAACCCAGTAGCATGCTGAAATCAGTAACATATAGAAATCATGCCTATATGGGTCCATAAGTATAATCCTGTTCGTCTCTACTCACATGCAATGTTAGGATCTAAAATCAGTAACGCATAGAATCATGCCTATAGGGACTCTTAAATAAATTTGTTTCGCTTCATTCACAGTCAATGTTAGATATCATGCTCCTAGGAATTAAAATCGGTAATAGTAGATACTATCACCTGCAGAATCTGTAACCAGTCTAATTTAATTTTGTCCATTCTGAACCTCTTTTCAATAATCTAATTCCCTTGCTTAACAAGGTTTAGCAAGCTTGCCTATGGGATGTCAAACAATTCGTTTTGAGTTCTACTGTTTCATCGCCTTCTAAACTAAGTAGATATAATGCCTATAGGACCCTGTCTAAACACTTAGGCAAACCTTAGGCAGTATAAATAAAACTGAACTCGCCTCTATTATGTGTTACAATCAGCAGGTAGGCCCGATCCTGTTTCCTAACTGAGTCGTGTAATAAGCCAGGCCTGCTACAATACAACAATCTCCTCTTCCCTCAAGTATATCTTTTAGAATCAAACCTTACTCATTTGTTTAAGTCGTGCTATTTCATTGTTTTGTTTGGATGAGGTATACTTGAGCCTTATGTGTTTATGTGTTTCCCCTTTAATGTGCAGTCTTTATATGTTTTGTATGTCGCCTTAAAATTTTTACCTTTGAAACTTCAAATAAGCCTAATATCCCTCCCTTTTAGGATTAGTAGTCCTAGGCGCCTCTGGAACTGATAGAAATGGGACGGGTAATAGCATGCAATAAGTAATCGAGACCAATCCGCGCTTTAATACCTTAACGTGGTGGGAAGGGTAGATATGGATATGATGACCGGTGCGTTAATACCACGTGTAGCCCCTCTATTGAGGAGTGATAACCGGCTATTGCATTGATGTGATCCATATTAAATACAAACCTAGGACCCCCTTCCTTCCCTTCCCTTTTCCTTTAAAAGCATTGCAATTCCTGTTTAAAATCCGCTCTTTTAATTGCTCTTTCAGATTTTGTTACTTCCAAACCATTGTATATTGAAATCCCCTGAGCCTTATCTGCTTATATGTTAATTGCACCTCAAATTCACAATAACTGTCTGGCCGGGAACCACACTAGTGGATCCTGAGGGGTGCCTAACACCTTCCCCTTAGGATAATTTCAAGCCCTTACCCAATCTCTAGTTATTCAAACAAACTTAGAATTGAATCTCTATTGGTGTCCTAATGCACCTTAATCATTAGG